CTGGCACAAAATGTCTCTCTCTTCACTTGTACTAATGAATTTTACAACTGGTTAATTCTCCAAGTGTATTTCTTTTGCTCCTGTTTGGTAATTACGTAGTATCAAATTTTTACTTAGGCGTTTTTCTATTTAGGTCCAATAAAGACTTGGTTCAGTGGTAGAATACTCATCAACCAAGCATGCGATACGGGCTTCTATCTCCGGTCGACGTACTCCTAAACTTGACTGAGTCTATAAAGAGATTAAGCTGGGCATGAAACTAGCAACCCCATTGCGTAAAAATAAAATCACTGCTGCCTAACCGGAAAGTGAAAGAATAAAATAATGAAAGAAATTGATGGTAGAAAAGAATAGATGACAAAATGAAAACTTTCTCTAACTCTCTTCATCTCTATGTCTAAACCAAGTCCACTTTTAACAGTTCGAAAAAAAATTGGGCATTAGGCATATGGTATGCATCACTATAAAAGTTTTTGTGTTTCCCAGTGAATGAAAAACAAAACGACAATGTTGTTTTTACCGACGTTTCGATATTTAATGCTTCCAATAGCTTTATCAAAGTATTACTAAACCAGAATTCACAAATTTCGGCTTATATATAACAACTTAATCATCGTTTCTCTGTATGGGGTGATTTTTCGTTGTCTAATTGGCCAATTGGTAAAGATAACAAAACCAGATGTAGATTGTTGGATTTGATAAGTGTGTAAAATTATAAAAGCTGAGTGTGTTTACATTTTATGGGCTGCGAGTGTGTTGTAATCACGTCAAATACTGTTTTATTCCATCATTCCTATTCCCTAGACAATTTGGATTCCTTTTGATATGACGTGCCTCTGATATTAAACGTTCTTTGTGATTTCTGATATTTTTCTGGATGATGATTTTGTGGCCTGATTCTATAGTGTGTAGACCTATGGCTGATGATTTTTCAAACTCTTCTAGTTCAACTCGATTCCTCAGTGGTAGAGCAGATGCTCTACAGTGTTCATTACTTCTCATTACGATTTCTCTCTGGTGATGTTTGTCCGTTGTATGTCACATCAGATTCCAAGCAAGCATTTTATTTCACAGATACAATTAGATGGAGAATCTTTCGTGATTTTGTCTTTTACACGGACAAGGTTGCTTCGCAGTGTGTGTCTGATGTTGTGAAGAAATCGCTGATGTCGAGCTTATTGAGTACTCTTCTGATATCGTCTGAAGTTTCCGCTCCATATGAAATGACAGCTGTTGAGGTTAACTTCTTTGAAATACGTTTTCAACTATATTTAATGTCAGTGTTCATTTTGTTATTGAAGTTCTCTGGGTAGTCATTTCTTCACCTCTTTTAGCGACTGTGAGTGGATTAAACGCCACTGTTGAATACGACAGTACCATCTGTTTAGATGTTGATTCAGTTTATATTAAGCTGTCATATATTAGCATTTTAGTGATAATTGTGCTTTAATTTTCATGCATAAACTAGAGACATATGTGGGTGTATACACGTAGTTAGTACCCTTAAAAATTTCACTATGCAAATAATACAGACTTTGGATTACTACTTTATAATGATTTTTGTTGACTTCGGATTTGTCCTCATTACCTTTTATGTTTGTGTGTGTGTGTATATGCGTGCGCGTGTCAGTATGTAGGTATACACTACATTACAAAGTGTTGTTACATAACTAACTAACTAAGTTGAGAAGTACTTTATGCTAATGACCTAATTTTGCAAATTTTTTTGTGATTTAGACAATTTTCACTTCCTTTGGTCACTCACATTCAATTAACAGTGTGAAACAGAGTTTTTCTACTTATTGTTATACACACACATACAAATCCAAATATGGTTTACACTTTTTATTTTATTGAATATTTTTTTTATGTTAACGTAAGCCAGTGAAGATGATGTGTATATATTTCTCAGATTTCTTAATTCCCCGGTTGTGTCACTGAAATGAATTCCCATGTGAATTATTTAGCATTTATTAAATGAAGTCAACATATAATTATCATATTTATTCAATCAATCAATCTAGGTTTGATTATGATTAGCATAAAACATAATGCGTTGCGTTGTACTCAAAAGCAGTTAAAAAGTCTAGTGTTTTTTTATTCCTTAGTTCCTTGCTAAACTACAAGTGAAAACCAACCAGTTAGCAGAAGAGACAGTGAAGATAAAACTTCATACATGCAGAAGATCGAGGTGATGAGGACACTTACTGACCAACAACAAAAAGAAGCATCAACCACCATTAACTGGATAGATCTAAAGCGAGTCAACTTCTTTACTTATCAAGGTACTGTCGTTTCAACTACAATCGGTATGGATGAGGATGTACAAGGGAGGCTTGCAGAATCCAGAAATCCTGAAATCAATTTAGAAACCTTATGAATTCAGCGTAAATAACGAGATCCGGATCATCAACACTAATGTCAGTTCAGTGCTTCTATAAATGGTTCAGAGAATGAAAGCACTTGCGTCATCAAAAGTATTTCCAACAGGTGTCTTCGCTTGATACTGAATATCTCATGGCTGGCCACAAAAGATTGGCAAAAAATTACACCAGGGAAGGACCCAACCAAGAACCTTTTGCCCAACAAATATGCCGAAGAAAATGGAAACTGATCAGACACTCTCTGAAGAGACTGTCGAGTGGAATCCAAATAGGAAATAACGGCTCTGAACATGAGTCCGAGTGCAACATAGAGGAGATCATGTGAAGAGTAGATGAAAGCGTACAGGCAGTGGTGGAGTCAGCTGAAAAAAACTTCAGAGGACAGGATCGCACCTCAGGAGCCGTGTGTTCCACTCAGCCGAAGGGGGATAATATTAATAATGATAACTGCCAACTGCATTAAAATGAAAATGCTTGTTAAGTACGGTTTTATTTTATTAAAAATTAAAAAAAATTCTCATGTTTCTTGTAATGGATGTTTACATGCAATAAAAAGCTTTAATTTGAGCAATATTTTAAGGGGAATCGCCTCTGCTTATAAGAACCACTATTAGAATTTCTTTATTCACTTGTTTAAAAATAGCAGTCATACAATATAATGGGTCTGTTGCCTAGGTATTCGCTTTTGTATCCATAACAATGTTTCATTAGATCACCTTTGTGTTGCATGTATTGGTGGTGGTGGTGGTGGTGGTGATGTAAATATTCATTCTGCCGTTAATCTTCCCTTCAATTTGTTTATATTGGAATTGCGAAAAAAAGTTTTTCCAGTCAGTATTGCGTTTTTTTTATCCCACGCATTCTCATATTTATAGATTTACTAAGACATGTCATTATTTTAGAAACTGGATTTCTAATAGTTCAGCTTGTACTGAAGAGCAAGGTATGCAACATGTGACTTTTAAATAAATCGCTTCTATATATTTAATAGGGTTACTCAATATTTACTTGTAAGAGACGTGATTGTGATTGAAGAGAGAAATCTGTTGTGCAACCGGATTGTATACAATTCTTTAATTCAGTAGTCTATATCGAGTATTCTCAACTGCTTGGCTGGTTATGCACTGGAACGACAATCCACCTGCATTGTGAATAATAATAATAATAATGATTTACTTTATTCCAAAAACAGTACTTGTAATACAAAATGGAATTATCAACATTTGTCACAATATTGCATCTGATTTGCTTAAAATATAAATAAAATTAAAAATTAAAACAAAATTAACCAGAGGGATTTGTCCATGTTTACGATATAAAGTTAAAAATATTCGAAGCACGAATTGAGAGTATCAACTTTAATAATAATAACAGTGAGTTTGTTTCAAACAGTATTGTTGATTCAGTTTGGAAATTTTAGCATGTTATAGATTATTGGATCTAATGTTCTGTTGATATAGTATAGTGAGGGGAAATACAAAATTAACAGTTATTCACACAGCTTAAATTATGTTCACACTTATGAAAAAATTATAAGAAATACAATAATAATAAAGTTTGATGGTGTAAGGGTGGAGGAAATGGTTTATTAGTAGTGCAAAGAAGGTTAGTTCATGCCTAACACTATTTTCATCACATAAAGTACGTGTCGCCAAATATGGTATAGTGGAATTTTTATACTTAGACGTATGTATAAAGTCTTCTGAAAAGACTTCTTGTTTTATGTAAGGAGACAAGGTTGGAGCTGCGAGTAGAGTGGGTGCCCAGAGTCTGACAAAATTCCTTTAGCAAATTGTTGCATGACATCAAATGCCTATCAATGAAAATGTCAACAATATGGCCCAGTGGGATACCACTCACCCTACTGACCGACAGTCTTCAGAGTTCTACGAAGTATGACATAGTCTTTTTTAAGCAATCCAGGAAAGAATAAGCAAGGGTGAACACTAAAGAAGAATAGGTAAGATCCTCGAGTTGGCAAACTGTAAGAGGAGTGGTTGGGTTGAGTTATGCCTGAGTGCCTTAACTTCTTAATGTAAAAAGTCAGACGAAATATTCTTTTAGAAATCGCTAAGACATGGGAAGACCAGGATAGGTAGGTCAGAAGAAAGAATGAATGCCATTATAGTAGCGGCAAAATACAGAGACCTTACACTAAATCCTCCATTCGCACATGTTCTCTGTACTTTGCTTATTTTGTCTTGCTTTCATATTTTCTATTTCACAAGGATCATTCATTTCTTCTTTTGCCAGTAACACCCTCCACACCATTCACATAGATTATTATGTTTTCCGCCAGATTTGTTCAGGCGCACACACACTCTCTCCTGTGTATATGTGTATACCAGTGAGTGTTATTTTCTCAGTAGTATGAAATAACTTCACATAAGAGAAAAAAGGAGCACCGTATGGTCTTCAAATATTATCAGTTGGTTTATATCCATCACAGCAATAACATTCATGTCTATCCTTTGATGTCTCTCAATTATTGACTTCACAGCATCTGTGTTAACCTGTCATATTTCCACATCTGTTATGTTTTCTTTTTGTTATGCACATCAATACTGTTGTTATTTCATAGAATTTTTGTTGTTTTCTTCCGCCTTCGTGTTGTAGGAAGAAATTTATGTTATTTCTCGACGAGTTGGTTTCACAGATGATGTTGAAGACAATGAAGAGAAATCAAATCAGAAATTAATTCGTCGTGATACACCACATTATACAAAACGAGCTAGAATCCAGTCAAAAACTGCTGATGGAGGTAATTGTGATATAAATATAATATTTCTCAATTAATTATTGCTGTATTTTGGAGATATTATTTTATTTTCTGGTTTTCCATCATTTCATTTTTCTTGGACTGCCTACCGTATTCCTTGTTGTTTCAAAAAGACTCTAAGGTACAGCTTACTCTTGTTTACTTCATGATGGCATGGGGGAACCGGAGTTGTGTGCCATTTCATGTTGTTAGATGGTTGAAGCTAGTTGGCAGGAAGCCCTAGATCTAGGTTTCGTGCTTGTTGGCACTCATCAGCAAGGCGTGTATCTGCAACCTGAGGAACTCATGTTCCCCCTCTCTTGTCGTTTGAAATTCCTCAGCTGCTTGTAGTATGCATTCAAAATTGAATAAAAATATCCTTTCATGAAGTCATTGTAAAAACGAAGAGTGGTCAACCTCGATCTAGGGAGTTTGGACCATTGGAAAGTTATAAATGTAAAGCATGGATACATGTTATATAAGAGATGGATCTCGTGACCTCACGAAAGATAAGATAAAGGAATGTCTTCCTAACAAATACCAAATAACTATCAAGTGTTGGTTCTCAAGGATTCGATTGGGTATAGGTTTGAACACGAGTTGACATCAGTTAGGGAATCATTGGAAAATCTGCGGGTACTGGACAGCTGTTCTATCCCATGTATATCGTGAATTGGCAGAAGATGGAATTCATGGACTGGCCATTGTATCGGTTCCCAGTTGCTGAACGGTCTACATACTCACCTTGTATCCATAAGGTCATATGTTCGACCGCCAATGGGTGTGCACTGATGAAGAGTATTGAACTAGGACGAAACAGCTGTACACAGTACTCCTAGGTTTTCTAGTGATTCTGTAATTGATGTCAACTCGTGATCAGACCTGTAAATATCAAATAGGCAGCACAGGGTTCCTGATTTCCACAACTAGCTGCAGTCAAGTAGATTGACAGTACAATGCCTTTCTGTGTACTGATCACTGACTTTCCGACGTTCATTTAGTATTCTAACGTTTTGTTTACTTTATGCCAATGTTTGAGATTTTCTTTCTGATATTTTTACCAGATTTCACTTTTATTTTACTGAATTCATGCTTTAGCTAATAATTAGTTTGCAAGCATTTCCTTAAAGCGCTTAAGAGCTTCATGTCTTTGAAAAATATTGGGGAATAATACCTACAACACTCAGATGCATAAAGCTCTTCTTTCTCTATTACACTTTTTAGTTCATGAACTTAAATCGAAGGCATTCTCATTGTTAATGAAGCCCATAGTTGTAAAGTTACATCCATGAAATCTTTAATTGTTTTTTTTTAACCGATGTATGCAGGAGTTGCGTCCGGTAAAGTTAAACTATAGTGACCCATGAAATGCTAATCCACTAGTGACCTTGAGGCAACCAATTGGAAAAACCATTGTATTTTACATAAAATGACAAAAGAAATACAGCAAATGATGAT